GGGAGCCCGATGTGGGGCTCGATCCCAGGACCCTGGGATCATGACCTGAGCCGAAGGCAGACGCTTAACGACTGAGCCACCCAGGCGCCCCTGGTATATATATTCTTAGCCAAACATCCAAAAACAGTCAATGGCAAACAGAAAAATGTTAACTAATTAAGATCTCTTTGTCTTGGCTTCCTAGCTCTTTTAAAACACTACTTAACTTAAACAATATAAAATATTTAAAGGAATTAAAGGGTTACTTTAAGTCAGGCAATCCTCAAAGTATCAAGATAAGAACTTTTGTACATAGTTTACAATTGTGCAGCTTGCAGTAATGATGGGTAAGACTATTAAACATTTGTGATTTTCATAAAGGAAGTATAACCAAATCAGAGTGTGTAGAAAGGCTGACAAGTACCTCAAACGTAATCCCACTTAAATTAATGTATGTGGGGATTTCAATGTAAACATAAGTAAGCTCTGGGTTTATTTCACTTCTTTTCTGCTTTATTGACATTTCTTTGAAGTTGTTACTATAAACATTTCCAGTCTCCCAAACTTTCTCTTCTGTATTTCTGCAGCCTGAAAGTGCTCAAGCAAAACAGTAATATAGAGGTTTCTTTACAAATAACTCCAAAATGATTTCTGACATGATCTACCTCCATGTACAAATCCACTGTAGTATCAGCCTTAAGAAGCAATGCGTCAGTAACTACTAGAGAAGAAAAAGGTTCCCAAAGGGTGTAATTACAGATGTATCAGAACTCTATTGACCTCCAAATAGTATCCTTTCCTGTTCAAAGATACCTGAAATTCATTAACAAAGACGCTTGTTCAGATTTTCTTTCTGTACTCACATTAAAATCTAAGTAGCATGAGAAGAGATAAAGTCACCACATAAATTCACAGAAAGGTATAAATAACAGATAACTATTAAGTTCTTTACGGTAGAGTTCAACAAAAATGATGGACAAATTTGTCTTAAGGCCCTTTTTATCTGAAAGGGGAGAGTGTAACAGAGAGAATAAACAGTTACAAAAATAGAAACAGTTTTTGAATAAAGGTAAAGACTGATAACAATGAATAAAAACTGTTTTGTCAGACAAGACCACAAAATGCTGAGAAGTGGTGAGGACTTTTTTTTAATTATACATCTTCAAAATAAAATGTAAAAGCTAAAGATTAAAAATATGTAAATAAAAATAAATTGATATAAACAGATACAAATCAACTAAATGAAAAAATCACTTAATGACCACTAGAACAAACTAAAAATACATACACAGTTGATTCTCAATATTCATGGTAGTTAAGTTCTATAAAGGTGCTGAAAACACTGAATTAGTAATTACTGATTCATTGCTTCTGGGAAAATAGAGAATTATGTTCTTGTGAGCTTCTGATCACAAATCTTTTGTCAATCAATCAATACATAACCTTGTTTTATGTGTGTTTCCGTTTAAAGACACCTTAATATATGTTGCCAATTCATTAATACAACTCACAGCCAACTGCATTATAATGCATGCCTGAACAATGTTTATTTAACACATACATTTTCTCCATAAGGCACATTCACATCATAGCTGGGGATGTGAATGTCAGATGACTCAAATATTTTGCAGTTCTGTGCATGTCCATGAATGACCCAGAAAGCGTGGTGAGTATTGATTTGGCGGTTACAAATAAATTTTAGTTAGTATGTAAGTTTGTAGATACAGAATCTATAAATAAAGAATATTGATTATACCTGGATTTTGATGCTGGTTTAGTGCTTGCTTATATGATACTAGGTTAATGGCATAAGTTCATTTCCCTTATCTAGAAGATTTAGATGATACATTAGAACATCTCTAAATTCTTTGTCACTTCTGAATTTCTTAGAACCAAGGATCTATCTAAATTGAGCCATAAGGCATATCAGGTCCTACATAATCTAAACTTTTCTTAGCTATCTGGGCTTGTTTCCTTCTGCATAGAAATTTATGTATCTTTGATAAAGGAAAGATATATTAATTTCTACCCACCAATCATCATGTACTCTCACACTCCCTTACCTATAATCCATCCATTCTTTCATCCCCCCCCATCATCATGTATTAATCATGCATCTAGTGGTGTTGGAAATATGGTGACCAACAAGATAGGTTAAGATCCCTACCCTTTGGTGGTGATCATTTTTAGTGAGACAGCAACCATGTAAATGAACAGATCCATAACATAAATTCCAGTAGTTGTAAGTGCAATAAATTAAAACAGAATAATGGTTTATAGACAATTGTAGGTAAGAATATATTTAAAATAGAGTTACCAGGCAAGGATTTTTAAGGAGGCAATGGTGAAGCAGAGATCCAAATGAAATGAGAGGAATAAAAGCATACATTTAGAGGTAGAAGAGCATCAGTGACAAATGCTATAAGATCGAGTAAACTTGGTATTTCCAAGGAAGAGAAAGAAGACCAAAGAGATTAGCTCAGAGGGAGTGAGAAGGAGCTTGGGACCAATCGTGGGTTGCCTTGGTCTAGGATCACTGAGTCTGGGCTTTATTTTAGGTGTGATAGAAAACCCCTGAAAGAGTTTTTTTTAAGATTTATTTATTTATTTTAGAGAGAGAGAGAGAGAGCACATAAAGTGGGAGGGGCAAAGGGAGAAAGAGAGAGGGATAGAGAGAATTTCAAGCAGACTCCCTGCTGAGCACAGGGCCTGATGTGGGGCTCGATCTCACAACCCTGAGATCATGACCTGAGCCAAAATCAAGAGTTGGCCACCTAGCCGACTGAGCACGCAGGTGTTCCCCCCACCCCAAAAGAATTTAAGCATCGTGTTATGATCTAACTTACATTGTAAAAGTATCACTCTGGCTGCTGTGGATCAGGATATGCAGGGCAAGAGTAGAGAGGTGACATTCTCACCAAGTTCCAAGAGAAGGAGCAGCAGTGGGAACAGTAGTGTCCACAAAGTTGGGATAAAGTGGTCATGTATGGGGCATTGTTGAAGAGAAAGCAACTGATTGGCCTCAGGGTTTAAGAGAAAAGGTGGAATCAGGGCTCATTCTTGAGTAAATAGTGACATACCGAAATAGTAAATACTGAAATCTGGAAGACTGAAGAAGAGTGAGTTAGTGAGTAGGACAAGACAATCAAAGGTTTGGTTCTGGTCATCTGAAGATGAGAGACGTATCAGACATTTACATATGAACAAAGGAGGAAGAAACATAAGGAAATAGAGCAAGATGAAGAAAGGACAGGAACCTAGAGATAACAGTTAAAATGTACTGTCAGCCAAACATGGCATGACCTTTCCCCAATCCCAAATCTCAATCACTTACTCAATCAACAAATATTTATTAAGCGACTACTCTCTGTCAGGCATGGTTCTAAGTGCCTGAGATTAAATCTTTCCTACCTGTCCTTTCACTACCTTATTTTTGAAGAATATCACCGTGATATATTGGCATTAAAGAAAAAAACTGCAAACCAACTAAGCCTTCTGCATCTCGGGGATTGTATCTCAGTTTTTAGATTCATGGAATTTAGTTTTAGATGCATTCTCTGACATCACTTATGTAATAGGAGAATTTCATAAAAAATTGAATTATATATTGAAAGACAGTTCATCTCTTAATCATTTGGGCAACATCACAAAATACAAGTAATGCAGGCATTAGGTAGATAATTTTTCACTGAACCAGTTATTTTGGTCTAAATAGCAGGTGAATCCTATCCAGTTTTAGTTCACTGTTAACAATAAGGTGGTCTATTTGAATAATGTTTGCAATATTATTGATCCGGTAAAATAACAAAATTCAAACATGAATCAAATAATCTCAAGAACCAAGGTTTCCAAAATGCAAAATGATCAGGAGCATATAACACAACATCATGATCATATAAGAGAAGACAATTTTTTCATGATAAGAGGCCGTATGTCTGGGAAATTAAATGGCATATGCAAAGGGGTGGAGATAAGTATATCACACAGCTTGCACGTGAAGGTGAGAGATTCTCTGGGCTTATGGTAATACCTGGATTCCCCCTGATGTTTCTGCTCTGGGGACTGAGACACCAGCACACACATTGCACTCAGGAATGAGCATACCCTGGCACTGCCTTCTGATTGCTTGGACAGAGAATCAGCCTTCTAATCAATGAAGAAATAATCTCCAGTTATGGCATCTGGAGATGAACCTACCACCACCATCTCATCATTCCTTCCCATTTCATCAGTGGGCTCTCAATTTCTAGACTGATTCTTCGATTTAAACATGCTGTGGAATTCACGACAAAGTCCTCCATCTCTTGGCTTCCAATCCCTAGCTCAGTTCCCCCAGCCCCACTAAAATGACTCATTAGCCAGCTTGGTAGTTTTGGACCCAGACTTTGCTCCAGAATTCTGACTAACCTTTGGTTTATTGTGCCTTCATCTAATAATGTAATGTTGGTGCTGATCTCCTCCCTGATATATATTTTTGATGAAATCGAAAGCTAAAAACACTTAAATCTCTATTTCTGATATAAACAGTTTTCTGCATAATGGTGAAAAGGTGAAATATGGATTTTCTCTATAACAACGACAACAACAACAACAACAACATGATGGTCTACCTTTTAACCTCTTAGTTTAGAAGAGAAATAAAAGTTCTATTATTTTAATGGACTCTTCAAGCAGTCTTGTGAAACAAGCCTGTGCATTTCTCCAAAGAAACTATTGTCGGTACTTCAAACATTCTAATTCAAATAGCACAGATAATGTAAACTCACTTTAATCTTCTTGAAAATGTCTGCAACAAGAGGAAAGAAGAAGAAGGAAAAAAAAACCTCTTTCACTCTTGATGTTACATTTTATAGGCAATCCTTTGCTTCTTTGCTGATTAAAAAGCTGATTCTCTGGTCCTTTGCTTATTTAATGAGGATCCCCTTAAATGGCACTGTCATTTATGGAGGATATGTTCCGTGAAGGGTGCCTGAAAGACTTTACCTCAAAGGCCTGAAAGGTCAATCCAACAAAGTAGTCTTCTGACACTGTTATTTTCCACACGCATTCCTTCATCGGTCTGTAGTCATCAGGATAATTAGGAGACTGAATCTGTCCTTCATTTTTACGTATCTCACCTCCACAGATCGCTGAGGGCGAAAATAAGCAAATAAATAAACCTAGACCTGACATTTCATTTTCATTTTCTTCTGAGATACCATTTTAGTTCAGTGCCTGTAGCTGAGTACATAAAGACTGACTATAAAAAATCAAAGTTGGCTGGCTATACTGCTGTAAATATTTAGATGGTAAAAACCTAGTCAGTTAACTATAAAATTTAGATAATAGCATGGGAATATATGATTTTTTTATCACAGTTTCTTTACATCTTTACAAAAAAAACAGTATTTTTTTTAACTTCTAAAAACCGTTTGAGATTTTGTAAATGTATTCTCTGCAGTAGAATATTCTATCATATTCTACATGAGCCCCTGAACTGGTTCTTACAGTCTTTTGAGCTCAGGTAAAATAGCTGATCAAGAGAGACGCTCCACAGAACTCTCTGGGGCTCTGGCAACGTGAGCTAGCATCATGTGCTCAACATCTGTGGCTCCATCCAAATAATCCCCTTCACGGCCGTACAGCTAATCTCTACAACAAAATGCTTCCGTTTACTTAAAAGTTTAAGGGAAGCAGAAATCTCCTGTCTTCTGAATTACCTAAGCTCTTGTGCTAGCAGAGGTAGGTGCAAGAAGGGTCTCTTCTGCCCACAACCTGGCAAAAAAAAAAGGGGGGGCGATTTTTAAGGCCAGGACACACAATGCCAGCTGTTGTTCTCTGAAACTTGTCATTTCAGAGAAGTATAGAACAAAGCAGCTAGTAAAGTATCCCTTGAATGCTGCCTCCCTCACTTAGACAAAGCATGCTCCAGAAATGTGCACAAGTACTTTCTGTGCAGTTTCCTGTAACAGAGAATTTCAGCAGTATAGGCACCAAATAAACACAAATTTAGTACAAAGAAAAAAATCATAATTTCTTCATGACATTTTAATAATCATGGAAACAATGGAAATTTAAGAGCTTTTGTGCCATTTCCATACACCCCCCCACACACATCCCTACATACATTTATATGTTACTATGTCACTGGTACCAGGAAAGAGGCTCTTCTTGCAATTTAACTTTACCAAGTACTTTTGTAAAAAATTCATTTTTGTGAATATTATAACACAGATTTAGGAAACTTCATAATTAAATGTGCTTACAATATCATTCTAATGAAATTGAGAGAAAGGACATTTCTGCTAAGAGACTTAAGGGGAAGTAATCTCTAAAACTGAATGGGACTTGCCTTCATAGACAGCTGCAAAGCCTTTTCCCACCCAGTTACTGCTGCTACGAAACTCAATCCACATTCTGCTGTCTGTAGAGGTAAGAACTTCAGGCAACTTGTCCCCACAGAATCTACCTAAAAGAAATAAAAGAATACAGAGAGACTCCTAAATATGACTCTATATTCTAATTGCTTTCCACACTAGCCACAAATTATATATATAAAACCCGATTTGGTTCCTATACTCTATCTGGAGTAACTAGAACTATAAGTATGCCTAGTATTTACTTAACATAGGCGGATAAATAAAAGAATGTCTTTGTATCTATTTATAAAATATTGGAACATACCATTCTCAGATTAACAGCCTGACGTCAATATCATTGTCCACAGAATTAAGAAACAGCTAGTGCTAAAGACATATTTGTAAAAGGTCACATGATACATCAAGGTAGGGAATATTCTTTCATAGAGAACAGAAAAAAGTACAGGCGATCCTGAGAAACTGGCTCCAATTGTCAGACCAGTCCTTGCAGAGAAGTAGCTTGGTTAAGGATGTGTCTCAGCCCAAAGCAGAGTTCTTTGTCCTGTGGGGTTCGACGATGACCCACCGGGGAGACTCACATGCTGCTCTGGGGGTCTTACACTACTGCATACATTCCATCCCATGTACAAAGTCATAATCTGTTGTGTAGTCGGTCAACCTCCCATAAACATATATTGGCTAACTGTGTGTCTCCACTGTGCTTTGAATTTCCATATATGAGAAAATGGCTAAATCTGCATATCCACATGAAATAATTTTACCAACAATAATACATTGCCATCCATTTCTGCATGCCCCTGGCAGTGCTATCATACATAGCTTCAGTATATGAAAAATGGTCATCGACTTCAAACAAATTCATACTAACAGTCAACAGGTGAAGAACCGTCTTCCTAAATGGCAAAGTAAATTAAGGGCACGCGAAAGAGGAGCAATGTTTCTTAAACTGTAATGTGCATATGAAATGCCAGGGAGTCTGTTAAATACAGTCTCTAATTCAGAAAGTATGGAATGGAGCCTGGATTTCTACCCCTCTAACAAGTGATCCTGATGCTGCCTGTCTGACAGGTACACTTCAAGGAACAGGTCTCAGGGGAAGTAGTGGGGAAAATTTTCCACATGAAAACGATGACCAGACTGAAGCAGTCTGTTGGCCCACTATACGCCGAAGCATGTAATGCTGCTGGCGTTCTAAAAGAAATGTGCTCCACTATTTAGCTTTAGATTTGGTTCTTCAATATGAATTTAATGAAATGTTTTCTTTGGAACACATACACATATATTACAGATTGCTTCACCTAGGCTAAGAAATGCAGTGTTCAAGACAATGTTTTCTTCAACCTGACTTACCACATTCGTTCAACACTATTTTTTTTTCTTATTTTTAAACATCTCTATATGTCTTGGACCTAAGACTTTTAATACAACGGCGTCCATTCAGCGGGTTTTGGACGTTAAGATAAAAAGAACTGTATGGCACATAAGCACAACTGAGCAAAGCTACCTCTAAAAATAAAGGAAAAGTTGCCATTTCAAAAAAAATTCAATATTAAAGTAGATGCTTACATGCTCACAACAGCTCTCACCTTTAAGTAAAACAGAGGGCAACAGTAAAGTGCCTCATGCAAGTTAATGGTGTGGTCTGTGGTTAAACGTTGGCAGCAGACTTTTGTGAGCACCAAATCTGAGCTACAATTTATGACACAAAGGACAAATGCCTCTTCTCAGCCACAAAAACTCTCTGAGAAGCACAACCGTGACGTCCACAGTGAGAGCTAACGTGGGTGGCAGAAGAAATCAGCTACCAAACATGGACCTAGTGGCTCACATTCTACTCTCTTAGCCAACAAAACAAAACACAGACATGTGCACCCACATCATTTATCTGGTTTTCTCATAAAAGTGATGATTTATCAAATTAAAAATATATTTGGAGGCTATTCTCAATCATTACATTCAGATCCAAGTATTTCCTCATAATTTAAGCTAGTTTAAAATCAATCTCTCTATTTATCTGTCTGTATTTTGCTGTGGTTGAAAAGAGTATAATAAAAATTAAGATGCGGGCCACATACATTTTGAAGTCTAAGATGACTCTTGAAAGAATCTACTTTCAAGGACAAACTAGATGCATGGCCACAGGGGAGGTAAAGAGTCTCTTACCAAGGAGAGGTGATTTCCTCCAGTACCCATCTCTCACTTCAATGTAGTCATACCAGCACAAACTGCTTTTGTATAGGTCCATTGTGGTAAAATTTAAAACAATCTGCAAATTGGAGCAAAATGACACAAAAAGTAAAATGATTATTAACTGCACACGGTAATTTGATTCCTGGAGATAAGGAACCCAGGACTACTATGAATACAGATTCATAGCTAATTCTTTTTTTTTTTTCTGTTAGTATTCCCTTAATATTTTTTCTTAGCAAACACTTCAAAAAAAGAAAATTTCTTCTCGTTCTCATTAATGTTTGACAATATAGGAGCACTATGTCAGGAGTTAAACTAAACATTTTAGCAATTAAAGCAAAGTTTCGATAAAGGTAATTTAAACAATTGTGAAACCAACAGAAATCTTTATTCAAAGAGTTTATTTTGAATTTTTTAAGATAAACAGGACTTAAACCATGAGAAATTCTGATTTTGCCATGAATGTCTTCTTTTTAATAATTTATTTCAAAGACAACCAGTCAGACGTGTATAATTATATTAAAAATTACCACCATGTGCCATATTCCAAGAACATAATATCATTGTGTATGCTGAAATGTTTTAAATACAGCTCTAAAATTTGAATTTATCCATGTAACTATAATCAAAGACAGATGTCACTATGCTTCTCTAGATCCAAGAATATATACTCAAGGACCTCTCAAGTTATAAGATCTTACACATGACCCCTTATTCTGTACTTTGTCTTGAAATGATGCTGCTTTTTGTTAAGATAATTCAGATAATTCAAGAACAACTCCAGGAAAGACAATTTTCTCACTGCTTTATAAAAAGACTTTATTTTTCAAATAATTAACTCTTTTTCTACTTGATTACACCAAAAGTAGAGCCAAACTAGCATGAGAAATATATCTATCTGAAGTAAAATTCATTTGGAAAATAGTTTTTTTAATATTCAAAAACTCATTCTGCTTAAAATATCTAAGGTGCTTAAGGTGTGAGGTGAACCTTTTTTTACTCTGAAAGCTGCAATGGACTTTGGCCCAAAGCAACAAATTATGAGTATTTAAATAAATGCTTCTAATATAAAACTATAGATTGTAACAATATTTAAAGAATCCTTTGGTAACAAAATAAAAACCTGAATTTATATTTAAGAGAACTCTCAAGCTCAAGAACTGAGTAAAATATATATATAATCCATCAATACTGAATCCATATTCCAGAAGAGTGCTACCATTTTTGTGTAGAAAACATATACTTCTCCCCTTTCTTGAACTCAATACTTAACAGAACCATAAGTACTAATTAGGGCAAATCAATCCCTAACTAGTTTACTTCTTATGAGAATGAAGATACAACATAACAATAAATATTCCTCCTGGCGTCCTGCATCTCAGTAACAACAATGGTCATCAGTGGAACTGTACACCAAAGCTAGTTATAATTGCCCCTGTAAATAATTATTTTATAGAGATAGAAACTAAGACTTTATCGAACTATAATGAAAGTCAACTGTACCTTCTAATGGCATTAACATTTCGCCATTAAATTCAAACTTTTTCAGTTTCTTTAAACATATATTTTCTTGATTCCAAAGAGATGAAATCTACCAAGGATGTGAAAATAGAGGCACACTTGTTTTGTTTTGCATTTTAATGTAATACAATCTGTGTAGCATAACTTGGTTTTGTTTAATAAAATTGTTGGGGTGCCTGGGTGGTGCAGTTGGTTGAGCTTCCAACTCTTGGTTTTGGCTTAGGTCATGCTCTCAGGGTCGTGAGATCGAGCCCTGAGTCGGGCACCCCACTGGGTGTGGAGCCTGCTTGAGATTCTCTCTCCCTCTCCCTCTGCCACGCCCACTCATGCTCCCTCTCTTTCTCTCTCCTTCTCTGTCTCTCTCAAATAAATAAATAAATTTTAAAAAAATAAAATTAAATTTTTATTTATTTCTGTCTACCTTATTTATAGTTTCTCTTTTTCCTTTGTTTTTCTTTTCCTTCACCTAATTTTATCATTCCAAATATTCTCAAAAATGTTTACAAAAATTTCCACAATATCCATTTTTTTCCTTTCTTTTGCAGTAATCCTCAATACCTGATTATTAAAATGCATAGTTTCTAAACAATTTTTCTGAAGTTCCCAGTATGTTTTCTCTTCCATCTCTGAATACCAATGTAATATTAGGTTATTCTTACAACATCACTGGAAAATAATTTTTGTTTTTTCTCCTTAATTTTGTATTTACTTTAAGCCTGTTTAAATGGGGAAGACTACCACTGCCTGATTGATCTTAGGTTTCTTTTTTTTTTTTTAAGATTTTATTTATTTATTTGACAGAGAGAGACACAGTGAGCGAGGGAACACAAGCAGGGAGAGTGGGGAAGGGAGAAGCAGGCTTCCTGCAGAGCAGGGAGCCCAATGTGGGGCTCGATGTGGGGCTCAATGTGGGGCTCGATCCCAGGACCCTGAGATCATGACCTGAGTCAAAGGCAGACGCTTGATGACTGAGCCACCCAGGCACCCCTGATCTTAGGTTTCATTCTGCATTTGTATTCTGTCTTGGCAACCACCAGGGATTCGAATCTGTATGATCATACAAGAACTCAGTTATTATAGCAGAGATGGCAAAACTAGAATTCAGACACAAACGGTAGACCCCAAGGCTCATTTTGTGGCTTCCTTCTTGGATTTAAAGGTAAGTTTCATAATGGTGTGCAAATAGTTTCACTTCCTCTTCTATGAGGGAAAAAAAATCAAGCTAAATTGGAAGTATGTATATCATCAAATTGTATTTAAAATTAAAACAATGTGGTTGGAATGCTAACAAGTAGTTAATATTTGAAGTTTGGAATGTACACACACAAACACACACACACAGTTGGAAGGGGGATAACTCTAAACAGAAAAGTTTCCTATCTTGTTTTTAATCTTCTATTTTAAACGCCAAGCACCGTGGAGGAACAAAACTGGCCTACTTTAATATAAAACACAGAGTCCTTTAGAAGCAGAAAATGTAATAAAGATAGGTTTTCTAAAATCAAATCTTAGGGCTCTGACACAGAAGTAAAATGCTGGCCTTTGACTAAGGTTGCTAGCAGAATCAACTTGAATTACAAATCAAAAGCACTTGGAAAATACTTGGTTCTCTTAAATTATGCTTTTTTGTGTAAATAAGTTGCATCTTTTTAAAAGAATGATGAAATGAAAACTAACTGGCACCATTATATAAATGTTTATTTCTTATGGTAAGTATCAATTTACCATTATCAATTTAAAATTAATCATGGCTCCCTTGGAACATGAGATTGAAGGAGATACAAGGAACAATTCTAGGATTTCCTGTGATCTGTTATGAGTTTTAGTTGCTATTCTGCAAAGTTAAATTGATACAATTGCTGTGGAGTTTGCTTATTAAAACTTTGTTATGTAGTAAAGCAGAGTGCCACAAAGTGCGGAATCTGGAAGAAAGGCAGACCAACAGTCAAGGGACTGGATGTCTGCAAATCTCCACTGAAAAATATAATCAAGAAACTATTGTCAGCACAATTAAGACATTACTGACTACCTAAACTAATTCCATGAGCACCACAGAAAGACCAACTAGAATTGGTCTTACAGTGCTGAGGATGGGGAAGACACAAATCTTCAATTAGACTGATATTATTAAATGGCTCTTTAGAAAGAGATATTAGAATCAAAAGCAGTAAAATAAAATAGATTTCTGGGTTCCAGCCAAAAGAAGTTTGGACAAGCCTAATAATCTCTAGGGAGACTACAGTTTTCTTCTCAGGAATAAGACTAGAGGTGAGAAGATCAGTAAACTATACTCTGTGGGTCAAATTTAGCCTTCAACCAGTTTTTGTAAAGAAAGGTTTGTTGGACCCATTCCTTTACATATTGCCTATGATTGCCTTTGCAATACAATAGAACTGAACATTTGAAACAAACTGTATCACCGGCAAAACCAAAAGTATTTACTGTATATCTTTTCCAGAAAAAATTGCCAACTCATGGAATAATTGATCACTAAGCTTTTGTTCAGCTCCGAATTGTATCCTGCTAAAGGAAAAAAATTACATCTTTTCCTGCAACTAGAAGCTATTTACGATTGGGAGTCGAAAGCCTGGTTTAAGTTCTAGCTTCTCGGATTGCTAGTTTACTTAAACTTTCTTAGTTGGAATGTATTTCCTTATGTCAGATCCCTGGAGGCCATAATATCAAGCTGATCTCAGCAGAGTTAAATCAGAAGGATTTAATTGGATAATGTTAGAAAACCACTAAGGTAATCTGAAAACATTGTTAAGATTCTCATGTATTACTGTTTTCATGGTACATATTCAGGCATCCCTCACAACATAAATCCTGAAGACAGTTATGAAAGAAATAAAAGTATTAACCCAATTTACTTAATCCAACTATGCTGGGAACATAAAAACATCAGCCTAATTTTAAGGTTTCACAGGAAAATCAACACGTTAAAGTAAGGGATTCTTACTTTAAAATCTAAAGAATAGACAGACAGGAGAACCTGGACCTCGGTTCAAGTCCCTGCCTTACAATAGACGAGTTGTATGACTCAGGTGGATCCCTAATTCCATCAGGGATTTATTATATGACAGGTGAAAAACAAGAATTGGATTATGCTATAAGAGTAATTTCTCTGCTTAAAATTATATGATAACACTTGGGTTTTGACATTTTGGTGTGTCATCACCAACTACTCACAGGAACATTTTTCATACCTTCTTTTCCTTAATCCCCACTCCACCCCTATACCTAATCAATTCCAACTTCTGTAGTTCCCCTAATAATGTTCTCCTTCCATCTTCGCTGACCATGCTCTCCATACCTCTTTGAAATAACTGCAGTAGTTTCCTAAGCTGTACTTTGTGGGGTTTTTTATTTTTATTTTTATTTATTTGTCAGAGAGAGAGAGAAAGAGCACAAGCAGGGGTAGTGGCAGGCAGAGGGAGAAGCAGGCTCCCCGCTGAGCAGGGAGCCCGATGAGGGGCTCCATCCCAGGACCCTCAGATCATGACCTGAGCCCAAGGCAGACACTTAACTGACTGAGCCACCCAGGCATCTCTCACA